AGGTGTTTAAATGTCTTCAGGAATGCAGAGAAGGTGGCAGGAGGGAGGGGGAAACATTCCCCCAGAAAGGAGAAAGGTGGGCATTTCATATGGGTAGCTGGAATGGCTACATGGTGAATCTAAACCTGAGCTTATACACATTTACAATTTACAGATCAGATTAGATGAATACATGCCTGTAAAATACAAACTGGGAAAAAAAAATTGATTCTCTGATTTAAACCAGTAAAGAAAATATTAATAAAAGAAATAATACACAACAAAGTCTTGAGACAACTGACAGACAGGCACTTATACTGACAGCAGCCAAAGCACCAGCCAATTCCTGAAGATTCATGACTGGTTAGTAAAGTGACTGGACTGCCCCAAACCCACCCAGGTCAGCCCAGGGCTGCAGCTGCTGTTAGCATTGGGCATGAGTTGAAAAAGCACTGCTGGCGTCCCAAGCATTTCTAGAAGAAACAGCATCTGGGCAAGCAGCCAGCCAGCAGCTTCTCTCAAACAGTTTGGGAGGGTTATTACAGCACACAGTAACGACTGAAATGTTGTAGAGCAAACCCTGCCCAGCTCTTCACAGAAGAAGAAACACTTAAGTCCATTATACTAGCAAGGTGACTGTGGCCTGGTACCCCCAGATATTTAATGGCTACAGCTCATTAAGAAAACACACAGCCACAGATGTCCTGAATAGCTTAGTTTCTATATATCTTCTCCTAATAACTTTCCATTTTAATGACAATATGGTGACATTTTTGGAGAGCTGATCTTTTAACTTTTGAAAAAGGAAGAGGATTATACTAATGAAGCAGAGCTAGGACATCACGTTGTGTTATCAAACCTGATATTCCTTCACTTGCTTCAATGGGTGCTGGATGACACTGATTGTCCATCATGAAGTTGTGATCCTCAGTCTTCCAGGATCCTGTAAGTAAGTCAGGCACTGCACTGCAGCCTAATTTAATCATGTGCTCATTATCCATTTCAGATGTGATGTTCATACTGTCTTTCTCCAGTATCTGCTTGTGCCTAAGCACATGTTCTAGCTCACAAATTACAAATTTTTACAAGGAGAATGGGAGAGAACTCCATTTCAGATGTGATGTTCATACTGTGTTTCTCCAGTATCTGCTTGTGTCTAAGCACACGTTCTAGCTCACGAATTACAAATTTTTACAAGGAGAATGAGAGAGAATTTACATCTCTGAATTTCCACAACCAAATACTGACAACCCATAAACCTGAAGAAGACATTTTTGACACATCTGCCTCAAGCACTGCAGAAGACCTTATCAAAAATCAGAAATCCACATGCATAGAGTTCTACTACAACAGCAGATTCATCTGCTGGGGTTAAGAAAGGGAGTTCCCATAGTACACGCAATTATCAGGAAGGATTCGCATAATCCTAACTTTTTATTGGGTTATGGCATTTTTCACAGCCTTCAACCACTTCTCCTTCACAACCCTTGGAGAGGACAGCCAGCTCCCTCATCCTCCAGCTGTATTCACGAGGGTCTGGCCAAGGACCAAGAACATACTCAAAGCACAATACCTTCCACAACAGCCTGCAGGCTATGGACAGCTGACCATGCTGCTTCTGCCCACTCAGTTGAGAATCAGTTTGAATGCTATGAGGCCAACCAAGATGATACCAAGTTGTCCAGAGAGGTTTTTATCTTAAGTGGGAAAGCTTTCACAAAACTTTTTTTTTAATACGGTAAAACTCACAGACATAATTCAGAGAGCTGTTAAAAAAAGCTACTGATTAGCTTCAACCTTCCAATGATCTGTAAAGAATCATTTCAGCTCTGAAAACACACCTAGATTTCATACTTCAGAAGTTCTCTTCATCTGTCTCAGATTTGACTTTTAGGTTAGTAAAACTAATTTTGTCATGGACTTCTGATACACAGTTTGGGTACTCACAGGTTCCTGTATCTCCTCAGTCAGGGCAGCAGATAATTCTGCATATGCATTCACTGTACCACTTCAGTTTTTATAATTATTGCAGATTTAAAACCTTCATCACTGCTAGTACAGTTAAAAAATCTCTTCACAGATCTACTGTTCTTGTGTAACTGCCTTCCAACAACTTCTCATTTGGTAATACCAATTCCACCAGCCAGACTCTTCTCAGACAATTATTGGAAAATAAGACACAGTTGGCAGTAAAGTGCAAACCAAAGGGGATGCTCAGAGGAAATAACATCAGAAGTTGGCAAGGTGGCAGATGCATTTGCTGACTTAAACCAGATTCAGTCAACTAAAGTTTGCAATGTAAAGCTCAAACTAGGAAACTTCAATTCCAGTATTATTTCAGCCCTGATGTCTGATGCAAAAGCTGGAAGACCACCAGAAGCATAAACAGATGTCAAACCACCTTCAAAAGCAAGTGCTTCAAGAAAATACTAGGAATTAAATGAAGCAAGTTTGTAACAAACAACTCCAACACGTGTCAGTTGACAACTCAGTTGTCAGAGAGCTCCACCATCCCCATCTCCAGAGTAACCTGGAAAAGGAGATGGAAATACTTGGGATATGTCAGGAACACTGCATATTGTCAGGCAACTGAAAAAAAAAATCCATGATACCAAGGAATTTCTCCACTGGAGTAAACTAGGTGTGAAGTAAAAAATGGACATAGAAAACCAGCTGAGAATAACTTTGTCCATGCCTTAGTTCACATCCAAAATGCCAATAAACCAAAGCAAAGCATACAGCCCAGTGGTCTCTAAGAATGTCTTGCTGGTGATACATTACTCCAAAGTCTCTTCCATACTCTTTGCAAACACAAGAAATACAAATGGAAAGGGAGAGACAGTTGCACGCAGTATTAACTTTCAGTGGGTTACTTGCTCATTATTGCTGTCCATGGAGCAGTGGCTTTTGGTATCATTTCTTGGAGTTTGTGTAATTCTATTGATAATCTGTTTTACGCTCTCACCCCACAAGAAAGAAAGAAACTGAGATGGAGGGAATGGGTAGAGATGGAACATAGTACCCAAGGGACTGGAGTTCAATTTGTTGTTCCACAACAGATTTACTGCACAATCTCAGGGAAATCATTATGGCCAGATGCTTAAAGGTATTGAGGTAATGCTTCCTGCAGGAAGGCTTCAGTGACCTGCACAAAAAAATACATGTCTCTGCCCTGCAACATTAACCATGTACACACACACTGGAAGAAGCAGTAATTCATTTCCAAATGTATTAGCAGAACCACAGAAGTTTTAGGGTCATGCAAGAACCAGTGTGACACCCAGGTTAGAATGCAGCAGCTCCTGTGCCAGACCAATTCTCTTGCTCCTTCTAATGAAAACAAGAATGTTAGAAAAGGCAGGCACATGGGTTGAGCATACAGGTTGAAAACTACCACTCTTTTGGAAGCTTTCTGGATTCCAGCCATTTATGAGTGCCATTGGATTGAGGCCTGGCTTCATTCCTTTGCCTTTGAAAAGTTACTTACCAATGTGAAATGAGCAGCATTTTATAAACCCTTTGTCACTTTCACATGCAACATGAGTCCTTGGACCGTTAGAATCTTATCCAGACTTTGGCTTTAACTCCTGTACTATTTTATCGTGACCCTCTTTTTTAAATATAAAGAATCCATGCTCAGGCAAACACAGGAAGGAAGAAGGAACAAGCTCCCCCACCACCCTTACAGTCAACACCTATGCAGAGGAGAAGGGCACAAGGTAAGCAGAAGCCATCAACGGGATCTTCCTCCACCTTTCAGCACAGATGGACAGGGAAGAAGAGCTTTGGCTCCGCCCCAGTTCTAAAAGTAAAGAGCAAGTAAATTTTGCATGACACAAATGAACTGTGCTAGGTATGGGGAGAGCACAGAACTTCTGCTCCCACAGCAGAGGCAGGACTGCAGGCTCACACTCTGCTCTCTGAACAGCTCTTCTTGCACAGTGCTGGTGCTCCTCTTGCCCTCAGCCAGCTGTCCACATCAAACAACTGCAACATTAAAACCTGCTTCTCCAAACAGGAATGCACATGGCTAGAAGAAACCGCAGGGAAGGAAAGACTAAGGAGAAAAGTATTTGATTCCCTTCCATTCTCAGATAGCCAACATACTATCTCCACACGTCATCTTCTTGGCACAGCACATGAACAACTTCCTATGACTAAATAAATAGAAATACAACTGACTCCTACTGGCTCTTTATGCATTACAATTAAGCAATCTCAAAATTACAAACTCTAAAGGCTACAGCAAGGAAATATTGGTTGGATAAACTGTTCATTATAAAAAAAACATAGCCCTTTTCTCACTAAACAAATTGCTGTGCAGTAATTACTGCTGAAATGACAGTATAACAGTTTAGGATGTCAGGGACAAACAGTGATAATTTGACTGCTGAACATGCACTCCAGAACAGAAAGCTGCAGCAAGTTTTAAAGCACACAGCCTTGCAAAATGTATCACATGGAGCTGTTTTGCTTATAAAACTCAAACTCTTCTGCAACTTTCCATCAATCACTTGAATAGGCAATGAAACTTACCAAGTAAAAGATCCATGAAAACAGACTCTGAATAAATTAAAATTTTCCAGGGCAAAAAACTTATTTTACCTATCAAATTTGTTTCCAGGGCAGTCTAGCCCGTTATTTGGGATTAACTCTTCTAACACTTCCCCTTGCAGACTGGAAGTGAGAAGTGGAAGAGGATGCTGAGAACTCCCCACTTCATCCTCTGTTTCAGAGCATCAGCCACCTCAAGTAACTTTACCACAAATCAACATAAATCCTGGTTTCAGCTGCTCTGTTCCAGAGTAGCTACCTCAGAGCATGTGCTCAAACTTCTAGTGCCACTGCCTGTAAAGCAGCGCCTGGTGCAGCACAGCTATTCCCACACAAGGGAACATTAGTTAATTTGCATTCACAGTTACCATATGAGGTGTGAGTTTCTGACAGTCCACACATTTTATATTTAAAGACTGTAGGAAATTAATATCATTATCTTCGATACAATAACAAAAGTAACTTACCAGCCCATCACAATTGCTGATAGCCACTGAGGCATTTGGCAAATCAGTGATATCCCCAACATAGAGGCAATTCCCATAGAGAGGTTCAATGTGAGTCTCCTCAGAGTCCTCCTGCCACTCAACTGTTGCTCCAGGGGCCACCAGCCTGGAGTTTGGCCGCAACCTGAAGTGAAACTCTCTTCCAAAAACAGTGACATTGTAAAATATTTGCTCGTTTGCTGCTTCATGTTGCAAGTCCTCCACAGCTCTCCTGAAACGTGCTTTTGGTGGTCCAGACACCAAGTGGGATAGGAACCTGCCCTCTGAATCGGTGCTGGTGGGGATGACGAGGCTGTACTCCTCTATATTCCTCAGAACGGAATCTTTACAGGGAGAAAGCAAGAGAGGACAGAGATACTAGAACTAAACACATCCTGATGCCGCGGGATTTTTTTCCATTATTCATTAGCACAGCAGACACTTACATAAGACAGACGGACACGGCACTCCGTGCAGGCACAGAGTTCACCTGCATGAAGTGTGCAGAGTTCATTCAAACTTGCCTTTTGCTGCCCAAAACACCAGACGGCAGCGTGAGCCTCCCCAGCCCGGCGGGACCCTGCGCTCCTGCCCCGCGGGGGGACCGCACTGCCCTCAGTGCCCCTCGGTCACCGCTTACCCCGGGGACATCGGGGCCACCCGGGCGAACGGCGCTGGACAGAGGGAGCCGAT